GATTACGCCAATATTGAAACCATTGGCAAGCCTTGCCAATGGTTTCAATATTCCATACTGATGAAGGCGACGCAAGAAGTATCCCAAGACTTGTTCCTCTGAACTGGGTTTGGCCTGGGCAATCAATAGCTCGAATTCTTGGACATAATCTTCCACTTTGCTGGTCTGTCTAAGGGTTGCCAGCCGTTCGTATACAGTACCACAACCATTCTCGCCATATCTCTTCAGCAAAGCTCGCGTGAAATCTTCCCAAGATGGATGTTTGGCTTGATTACGCCAATATTGAAACCATTGGCAAGCCTTGCCAATGGTTTCAATATTCCATACTGATGAAGGCGACGCAAGAAGTATCCCAAGACTTTTTCCTCTGAACTGGGTTTTGCCTGGGCAATCAATAGCTCGAATTCTTGGACATAATCTTCCACTTTGCTAATATATTCAGTGCTTACAACTATACCTCTGATTACCAAAGAAGCTATACTGGAGTTCTAGACCTCCGTTGTAATTCCTTTATAATTAATTTAATATTTCTGCTTGTAAGAAGCAGATAAAATTTGTTTCTTAAAAAGAAAAAATAAAACTTATTTTAATAAAGAAGTTTAGACAAACACATCAAAAAGTAAAATAAAAAATAAAAAATCAAACCACTTTTTGTTTATTAAAAGATTAAGTTAACATCCTAAGTGTTACATATGACTATTAGTGATATCATGTTAATGTTTGACACATCTAAAATTTTGTATAGATCATTAAAATAATTGTTATTCATCTACCTCAAAATAATTATAAGGATCAAAAATAATAATTTTAAAATTTAAAGGGATGAAAATAAAAAAAAAAATATATTTGCAGGGATTAAACTAAAACTTATTTATTTTGCGAGGTGAAAAATAAAGAAAAAATTTATAATGATCAAAATTGAAGCTCTCTAATTTTACAAACACTAAACACATATTTAAACCAAACAAAAATATTTAAAATAACTAAATAATTTTTAAAAATGATATTATACATCATAATAATATTAAAAATAATAAAAATTTAATTGTCAACATTCATCCAATTTTAGTTTATAAAAAAATAAATTGTTAATAAAATAGAATAAACTAATTATATATGTAACCACGATTAAAAATTAGGAACCATAAATTATAAAAGACAAAAAATAATTATATATTTTATTAAATTATGATTAAAAAATTACTGTATGAATATTAACAGCAAAATTATTTTAAATGTGCTATTTTAGAGAAAAAAGTTTTTGAGTTTTTTTAATAATAGGAGAATGCGAATTTTGAGAGAAGAGATTAAAAAAATTGTAAAAGAGAAAAAAAAAACTTTTGGAGGGGAAACAATAACAGGAGTAATAAAAGAAAATATAAACAGATTTTTAGTGAAAAAATGACAAAAAAAAAAAAAAGTCAATGACAGAATTCAAGGGATTTCTCACTAAGTTTTTACATAAGTTGAAGAATAAGTTATAGTAGACTATTTATTAAAATAAGTTCAAAATATCTTATGTGCTACTAATAAAATATTTTATAAATTTATCTAAACACTCATAAATCTTTATGGAATAAAATAAATACAAATAAGTTTATTCAAACTATAACTATTTAAGAAAAAAAATTAAATAAATGGACTCATAATTAGTTTAAGTTTAATAAAAAAATTAATTACTCTAAAATGTAGTTAATTATTATTTAAATTTTACGAATTTTTTTGATTTACCCTTATTTTTTTACTAACAGTTTTTCAATGTTAACAATAGTTAATAACATAACAGTTTTAAAATAATTATCTATTATTAGTGTATATTTAGTTTAATGAAAAAATTAAATACCTTTAAATATAATATTTATTTAATATTTACAATTTTTTTCTAACCACCCTAAACAAAGTAATTAATTACTCTTAAATGAAATTTTTATTTAATATTTACAAATTTTTCTAACAACCCTGAGCAAAGTAATTAATTACCCTTATTTTGAGTGAACATAAAATAAATAAATTGCCTGACTTATCAATGAATTAGTTTGGATAGAAAACTTATTACAACGTTAACAACATATTATTAGATAAAAATTTTCAATTAACTATTTATTATCGTTTATATTAAATAGGAGTGTTGAAAAGCAAACCAACCCAAATAAAAAATTATAAACTGATCTGAAAAATTGTAAACTGATTCGAAAAATCGAAAATAATGGAACACTGCAAATTGTTGATTCAATTTGATTTTTAAATTTTTAAAATTACACAATTTGGTTAAGTTTTTGGATTGAAATGTAAAATTTCTCCAAACTTAATCAAATCGTACTTATTTGTAAATATTTTTTTTTTCTAAATGCATAGTGCATGTATGCATAATTACTATATAATATAAAATTTGTTTTGTATAATTGTAAGATACTGAAAAGCGTTTTTCTCTCTAAATATATATTATTATATTTAAAAGGTATTTTATAAAATTATAAGTTACAAAATTTAGAATGAAAAATTATAAATAATTTATAATGTTTGAAAAAAAAATGTTTTTTTAAGTGACAAATTATATATATTAGATTTTTTTTAAAATATAATAATTAAAATTGTATTAATTTTACTAAAATTGTATTATATACATTAAGTGACTGAAAGATTTTAGAATTTGTATACTTTAATTTTATTTGTTACATATGATCTTAAGCAAATAAGATAACATTGCATATTTTTATTTGATTTTTAAATAACAAAATTTATCCCTTAAAAAAAACAATTTAAAAATCATGAAAATCAAACCAATTAAAGATTAGTTTGATTTAAATTCCATAATTCATTAAAATCGAACCGTGCTTAATTTTATTGTTTGATTTTAACGACTTTTAAAACAAAAAGCGAACTAAAACCACACTGTAAACATCCCTAATTTTAAGTTTAATGAATAAATTAGTTACCCTTTAGCATAGTCTTTATTTGATTTTTACACAATTTCGTGAATCACACTAGACAAAGTAATTAATTACCTAAGTAATGTTATATGTACAACACAAATTGTACAATAACTTTTGTATTTATACGTGTAATATTACTGATATTTTATTCATCTAATTATAAAGTTTGCTGGCACCAATATAAAATGCATATCATGACCAAACAATATTACATCTTCATTGATCTATTCAGAAAGCCTCCTTCTTTGTTCTTCTTCTTTTCCTTCTTGTACCTTGAATTGAAATGGCTCTCTCACCATCCACGCCAATTGTTGTGAAAGACTTTGTTTCCGAGTTGGGTACCTTCATCCAAATCTACAGTGATGGAACTGTGAAAAGGCCATTGCAATCACCATTTGTGGCACCAATGCTTGATGACCCTAACACAAACACTGGACTCTCATCCAAAGACATAGTCATCTCACACAACCCCCCAATTTCTGCTCGCCTATACCTGCCAAGGATCACCAACCAACCTCATCACAAAATCCCAATCTTGGTCTATTTTCATGGTGGTGCTTTCATCATTGAATCTGCTTTCTCCCAATTGTACCACAACTATTTCAAAGCCTTTGTCCCTCAAGCAAATACCATAGTAGTTTCTGTGGAGTATAGGCTTGCCCCAGAGCACCCTCTTCCAACATGCTACCATGATTGTTGGAATGCACTTCAATGGGTCTCATCACACTATTCCACAAAGAACAACCCTCCCAACAATGCAGACCCATGGTTGGTTCACCATGGTGATTTCAATAGGGTTTTCATAGGGGGTGATAGTGCTGGTGCTAACATTGCACACAACATTGCCCTACGTGCTGGATCTCAGCCTTTGCCTTGTGATGTTAAAATACTAGGGGCAATTTTATCTCACCCTAGTTTCTTTAGTTCACACTCAATTGGATCAGAACCTGTTGAAGAGGACCAACATGGTGAACTTTTGAACTTGGTGTACCCATCTGCACCAGGTGGCTATGACAACCCTGTGTTCAACCCTTTGGCTTCAGTGGCACCTAGCTTGGCTGGACTTGGATGCTCCAAAATGATTGTGTGTGTTGCTGGCAAAGATGGATTCAAGGACAAAGGGATTTTGTATTATGAATCTGTCATCAAAAGTGGCTGGCAAGGGAAAATACAACTCCATCATGACATTGATGAAGGACATGTTTATTATTTGTTCAATCCAGGATCTGAGAATGCCAAGAAATTCCACAAACGCTTAGTTTCCTTTATCCAGGAGTAGAACAGTTAATCTCTGCTTCTTCTTTTTTTATTTCTGTTGTAATAAATTGCAAGCAACAATACTACTTCCCGTTCTTGTTATAAGATTCAACAAGTTAGAATAATTATTTTTTATTTTAAATATAGGATCCAATTTATATCGTTTCGTATAGTAATTATTTTAGATTAAAATGTTCTAAATTAAAAATATATTCTCTTAATTTGATAAAATATATTAATTATAATTATTTAAAAAAAAACATGTACTTTGATTGATTAAAAAAAATTATTAATTAAGAGAGAAAAATAGTGTAAAACTTGCATTCTAATTAGTCAAAAGGATATAGAGTATGAATTGAAAAAACAAAAATGTAGTATATGAGTAGTTTGAGACAAAAATATAAATAGAACAAATATATTGTTATTGTACTATTCGTACCGCTATGCTGAGCTTGAGCTCGGCATCACAGCGCGGAGTGACTTCGGACACGCGCTAGGCGACATCGGCTCACTATCCAATTAGGTCATAAATTGATCTCGGGCCCAAGGCCCAACAAAATCCTAATACACACAAAGATACGTGCATTACTTATACGAGACTCATACACCCACAAACACTAACTTTAGCATCGGAGTCTCTTTTGCAGGTACCACCTCCATCTTGGAGCATCAAGCGTACCAGCGAAGGAGGCTCACCAATCTTACTCGGAGGATCATCTCTACAGCAGATTTCCGGTAAGAACATTTGGCGCCCACCGTGGGGCCGATCAAGACAGCTCTTATCGGCCACTCTTATGGTTTCTACTAGAAGCCATAGCAGACGCGCAACAGACGACCTAGATCACGCAACTACCATGGACAACGAAGCAGCATTGAGAAGGCTGATCGAGCAGGTCGAGCAGATGCGGCAGCAACACACCGTCGATCTGCAAAACATGCGTGC